ATAAAATAAAATAAAAAACAAAATAAAACAAAATAAAACAAAATAAAACAAAATAAAATAAAAACAAAACAAAACAAAACAAACAAAAAATGCCCGCAGCAAAAGCCACCACCAGTTCCATACCTTGCCCAGAGTAGCTAGGAGGGACTCGGGATTTGCTATGTCATCGGAAGTCATTGTACCAGAGTTTTTGTTGACTACGAATCGGAACTTCATCTTGGATTTGGTTTAGTTTAGGTTGTGCTTGACGATCGTCGCCATCTGTGAGGGACGGACGGGGGGAGGTGCTGTGCATTGTTTCTCGTTCCTGGTGTGATCTGCGCTTTTGCCTTCTTCAATTCTTCTTTTGCTTTTTGAGTTTGGACTGTCAATGTGACCTCATCGGAAACTGGTGGGACACACTATCGGTTTATTTTTCCCTTTGCCATGGGTTCCTTCAATCGTGTTAGTCCTAATTTATGGTAGTTTAGAATTGCTCGTCGAAGTTGGATTGGCTGTGGTGACATGACCTCATGGTTTCCGAGGACAAAACCCACTGCATCATAAGATGAGCTTGGACAAAGGGGTGAAAAAAATATACTCAAATAATAACAAGAATAAAAATAAAATGAAATAGAAAATAAGAATCGATGAACAACATACCTGAAGGCTTAGCCAGGCGGCCGAGAAGGATTTTCTTCGTTGTTCAAGAAGCGGTAAGAATTAGTAGGGAATCCTCAACAACTCAGTTCAGTACTTAGTCCAAGTATGGCCAACGGTGACTTGTTGTTGAGTTATGGTGACAGTGCAGAGTCACGTCCGCCGCTACTACCCTAGTACCCATGTCTACCACCCTCCCAGGTGAAGGGCTTGTTGTGCATCCATCGTGCCACCTGCGGATTAAAGGCAACAAATCACAGCAGCTGCTGGAGGCCGGAGGATTCGAAAGAAAGCAGATTTTCGACAGGATGTACCAGGTGTCAGTGGAGTGGTCCCACCTATCGTGTACTGGCAAGACCAATCACCTCCTCATCACCCTTGCATGGCTCGAAAACCAATGCAAGGCTTGCTATGTTTAGCATCTTAGATCGGCCGCTAGGCTCGATCGGGTGCCTTGATGGGAACTTTTGGATTCATGAAAGTTGTGCGTGCTGGGGTCCGACGAGCATAGTACAGGGCTACTGGACTTACCTTGGTTCATAGGAGAGATAGGAGCATGGTCGTATGGGTGGCACCTTGCCGACTCTGATATGCAGCTCAACTCACTGCCGTTTTAACGGGTTCCCGTGGCATGGGAGAGAATTGGGACTAGTCGACATTAGCCTTCCTTTCAACTTATCGTCAGGCACCGATCTCATCGTAAGGCATCCCACCTTGGGTTTGCTGTGGTTTGCTCGACAAGAATAGATCTGGAATGCTGCGTCTTGACAGAGCCGCCGCCACATCGTGGGCTGACGGAAGTGTCGTTTTACACGACAGGGCATGCGAATCATCAGTCTGACCGGTCGTGACCTCGATGGCTCGTGTTCGAATTCGCAGGGTTCAAATCCATAGCCAAATAAACTTTTTTACCACCCAACTTAGTGGAGATATTATTAGAGATGCTGCGATGATTGGTTTGTACGCGACTTATCAAAAGTATTTTGGGTCGTGAAGTTAAAGAACTAGCAGAACAACAAGTCAATCTTGGAAAGCTTTCTTGCTCCATTTACCAGATTTGGGTTCCATAGATCGCAGGTGGAGTCAAAAACGAAGAGGCGTCTACCTACTTGGCTAGGAAAAAGAGAAGCAGAAGGCGGAAAACCGGGACGGCTGCTTGGATGGTAGCCCTTAGTCACCGTTCGAACAAAGTCTCCCGGTTGTTAGGCTTCTCAGTGGCTCCATTCAACGATGGGTACCGTACAATTTGATTTGTCAAAACAAAGCCATACGTATTTGAGGTTCCGAGGCTTCTTTTCTTTCTTTTCTTTTCTTTTCTTTTTTCCTTTTTTCTTTTTTCTTTTTCTTTTTTTTTGTTTTTTTTCCCACCTCCACCGGAAGTCGGTCATCGATGAGTATACGGCATGTCCTCGGAAGATAGGCTGAGAAGTATGGAGTTACTTCTCAGAATCGGGACGGGGCATTCCCAAAGGGGAAAAGACCAAGATCAGGGCGAAATGTCGGATTAACTTACCTTTCGAATCTTCTGCCCCGGGCTCCAAATTAAGAAACTTCCAATAAGAGAGATAGGTTTCGAGGTTCCAAGTTGGCACCTGGGGGACAGAAGATAGGGTTGCCCGATGTGGAAAGGGGCATGGGTGGGGTACCAGGAGCCTTCCTCCAGAAAACTAATAATATGCCATGGTTATGATGGGTTAGGGCATTGTTCCCTACTGTTCCGTTTGTATTATTTTTATTATTCTCTGCATATCAATTCTGCTACTCGTTTTACCTTGAAACAGCGTGGTTCTACCGAGATACCAGGCTTGATAATCTATACGGCGTAGGGCGTGGGACTTGACTCACTTCGCATTCTTTATCCTGTGCTTTCTTCTATATGTACTAGTTATCACATCTCGGTGACTGCCAGGGTGAACTTAGTGCTAGGTTCGATCATACTCCATCTAATTGGACGGGTCCTCCGAGTGGGTCTTCGTGAATAATGCATACCGAGGCACCTAACTTACTCCGTACATAGTGCAGAAAGAAGCAAAGAATCTGAATGGAAAGGTAGGGTTTCGGGTCAGAGGGGAGAAGGCAGAAACGAGGCGGTGCACATCTGATGCTGCCACTATAACCATAGTAGCTCCCGTCAAGTACCAAGGTTCTGTAGTCCAATGAGGTCATTTCACATTTTCTGATTAGTTAACAGGGCAAAAAACGAGGGAGTGAAAAAAAAAAAAAAAAAGCCAATCCGAGATATTTTTGAGAAAAACACAGAATAACTGAAAATTGATTAAAATACACATCAAGAGAGAGAGAGCGTGCGTGTGTATGTAAAAAAGAGGAAAGAAAGTAAAAAACGAAAGAAAGAATACTATCCTGCTGCTGGATAACTTGGACTCATCATCTTATCTTCTGACAACGTACATAAAAGGCGTAAATAAACGAAAGCCACCGGGTCATGGGAAGACCCTCAGCATCCTCACAGGCCCATGGGCATTGTTGAATCAGAATCCTTCTGTGTACGGAGTTCCAAAGGTCTCTTTCTCCCATGACCCTTCCATCCACTTCCCCTTCTGCAGCCCTGACTGATCCCATGCTTTTCCGCCCTCTAGGTGGATCCACAGGCTCAAGGCGGCGTGGACCGCCCGAACGGTGTCTGCTGCTATTCTTTGCTAGCACCCTTGCTAGTAGGCTTCTGCATTTGGATTGGGTATTGAGGGTTTTCCTTCGAATCATATTTGCATCTGTTATTATTTTAGACCTGAGCTAACCTACCTTCAGCAAGAACACCCCCCTCCACTTTCTCTCTTTTTTTGTTTTTTTGTTTTTGTTTTTTGTTTTTTGTTTTTTGGGGGGTTTTTTTTGCTTTTTGTTTTCTTGCCTTTCTCCCTCTTTCTTCTTTTTGGCTGGTATGCTTTTCCCACCTCTTCCGACAACTACCCATAACAACGCTATCTTCCGTCCTGATGGAATATATCCAGACTAGTAGCTTAGTTATCCCCGAACCACAAAATTGAGGGCGGTTAAAAGAACGTGACCCGAAAAAAAAGGATAAGTGAATACAACCGAAAAAGAAATCCTAAAAAATAAGACAATACTACCGAAATAAAAAGAAAGGAAACGGGTCGCCATGAGGTCACTTTTTTGCTTTCTGCCTTCTGTGGATCTCCGAAAGGAAAGCGGACACCGCGGAAACTTCGTCGAAGAATATTATGGAGACTGTCCATTCTCACGCTCTCCATGGACGGACTGGTAACGGTTCAGATGTGGTGTGGAGGAGGGAAAACCCAAGAACCTTCGACTGGAGCAAAAACCCAGCAATTACTATCCTTCAATCCGACCAGAATCACTAACTATACTAGTAATGGCTCCGCCGGGAGGTCATGCTCCATAAATACATCCTCCGTTACTATACGGAAATACCTATGGATATCTGGTTTAGCAATGGTAATGATAAATTATTAGAATCAATAATACTCAATCACTAAACGGATTAAAAAAAATATATTAAAATCATAACAATAATAGTACTGGTAATTATAACAACCCATCTTTCAATACGATTATAGTAAGTGATCTAAAAAAAAGATATTAAAAAAAATTATGAAGCAAGAGCCATGAAGGAAAATTAGAATGAAATAAAAATACTTGATCTATATAAACTAGAATATGGAGGTAAGTAAAAAAGAAGAAAAAAATTCGAAGGAATTATAATAAGAAGAATCATACTGACTTGACTTTTACCAACCTCATTCAAGCCCCAGTATTACTGACTACATCTTACTGCTGCCTTTTGACCAGCCTATAACCACCCTCGATTCTTTACCTGTTCCTTCTTACTTTGCATCCCCGCCACACTAAGACTAAGGACCAGCATCCTTTTCCAGTGCCCTTAACCACCCCATCCCTCGGCCTTAGTGCTAAAAGGGAAAAAATAATATATCTCTCGTCACCTCGTACTGGTCCCTTGTCTGGTTTGGCCTTTTCTTTTTTTAAACCCTTTAAACTTCTCACCTCCTCTTCCCCGTTTTATTATTATTACTTATCCTTTCCCCCCTCCCCTCTTGGTTTCCTGTTATGGCACCTTGAACGGATTCGACTACTGCTTCTCTTACTTTCGTTTTTACACTCGCTTCATCGCACCACACTCGCTTTGTGTTTTTTTCGAAACTATATAACGTTCGCTACGTTGGTTGACGAAGAAGAATAACAATTTTAAAAAAGGAAAAGAAAAAGAAAATACGAGAAGGTCTAATCAGAAACAGTGGAAGAGAAGCCGAAGGGGAAAAAAAAGAAAATAAGATCAGGTTTACAGGGAAAGGAAAAGAAGGAAGTGGACGCATTGACGGTTTTTAATTGCACTTCTATATACTATTGGGCCATCACGGGATATCGCGCTCGCTCTTCGTTCGACGACTTTCGCTTTGCCTGCTTCTGCCTGGACGTCGATTCCGTGCAAATCGGACCTTTAATTCATCCTTGGCATCTCATTTCGACAAGAAGGAAAGGTTGTCTAGGAGTATTGACTTTTGATTGACTGACAATCATTTTTACTTATTCCGTGCGCACTATTCAACTGCCGTTTGTCGGGTCTCAAAAAGACTCACAAGCTATAGAGAAAGGACCCGCAACATCGTTTGTACTCCGGGAGGGACATCAAGATCGTCAAGTTGTGTCCCCAGTCCACGACTCCCCTCCGTCATCTACTCTCGTACTCAAGCCTTTGTCTGGTCTCGATTCCTTCAAAGGGTGGGCCTCTATCCGGTCGTCTACCAATCTTCGTCCTATTTCGATCTGGGCCTACAGCATCGTGAATCATTGTCTCGGTTAACAGCACCATTTGATTACGAAAGTCCCAGCAAAGTTCTCAAGTGAGCTCCTAGAGAATCCAAAGGCTTTAAATTCGCTGGCGAGTGTAATCTCTTAAGGTTAGTTTAATTATCCCCTTTGCCACTGATGCCATGGTGCCTTGCATCCGTCCCCTTCCTTTTGGGCTCCTTGCTTCTCCCAGGTCGTGCCCTTGGGGCACAAGGGCCCCAAGGAAAATTAGCACCCATGATGGATTTTCCCAGGTGCTTGTCATTTCCCCGAGTGGTCTTGCTCCCCTAGTCCCGGATGTTTGTTATTGACATTCTTATGGCGTAGGCTATTTCGTCAGATATTTGGTGACGGTGAACTTTGCATAATAGCTTTCCGCTAGCCTCGCCTGCGGTTTTGAATCCTTTATTACTCTTGGTCAATCCTACTAGCTTATGCAGCAAGCCGATTCCTTTCACCTCTGGACGGTTCGTACTCATTAGCTAGATAGTTCGTGGCCCCAGCTGTCCTTCAGTTCACCTGGGTCTAGTTGGCTCCAAAGAGTAAAACCTCTTTCGTTCCTGTCTGCGTCGACTTGATACCACTCGTTCGTTGAGATTGGCCTGCGCAATTCAGTCAGTGTCTCGCCAGCCTGGACTGTCCGTGGGATTAGCATACGTCCTTCGCAGATGCAAACTGGGTCCCTATAGGTGGCTTTTCAAGCAGCATTTGTTAGCGTGGCTTATCTCCAGCTCTCGTCCTGCAGCCATCCTTTCCGGTATCACTCTCCGTCGTTGGATGCTGGCCGTTGATTCGAAGCCCGTTGTTACGTATTCCTTGTTGAGCCTGACAGCCGCTTCGTGTCGTCACTCGTTTTGTCTCGGAGAGCAATTCAAGACTCTCCGCCATCCTATCGTTTTCCCAGTTAAATTCGCTGTCATTCGCTTCTAAGCGGTTGTGTTTCGTTGCAGTCTCTGCAACACCTTCAAGCTGGCTTACTCGAAGGCACACGGTGTTTTGGTACGTCGATATACTTCGTCCTGTCTCTCCTTTTGCTGCCCAATTGTCCCTGTTCCAACCATCTTGCCTTGCTTTTTTCTGTTGTGTTTAAGAAGCTCGGTGAGATTCCAGTCTCGCTAGAGATTTCCAAATTGTCCTGTTGTCTCGAAAAACACTGGACGTTTGTTAACATCTTCCCTTCACAGTTCGACCCTGATTTCCAAACCCCGTTGATTCTAGACGAATCCTTAGATCTATCAGACACTGAAGAGTCACGGTTTATCGGTTCGCTATCAGACGGCCTGTTGGCCAAGTCTGAACCCATCCTGTCTATGTCTACTCTTCAGAAGCCTCCACAGGCTGCCTTGCTCGGTAAGTTTGGTCGGGACTGGTCCTCCGGTGCTTCATTTGGAGAAACCTGGTGGCGCCACCCTTTCTTGTTTGAGACAGATTGCTGACTATATATCTAGATTACGAATCTGCTAGGTCCGTACAAGATGGTGCCTCCTATTCCAGTTTTGGTCAGGCCCCATACGTGACGAGCACACCAATGGTGCCATCCCCCATGGCCGACCATGCGAGTCAAATATCCGACTGTGTCCCATACATGGGAAATCAAGAATATGCCAGCTCTTACGAAGACAGTCGGTCACCCATGCTAGGTGGCGAATCCCGTCAACTACCAGAGGTGATCTCTTATTCTCCCCAAAGAGGATCAGAAGGGACTCGGGTGTTTGTGCAAATCCAGTCCCCATATGACCTTCACACTTCATCTTATGCAACTCTTTACCTGGTTTTTGGTTCGAAGAAGTGCGAGTGTGTGCCGCATTTCCTGGGTTTCCAGGGCTCTTTGTTTCAGTATGCCCTCTCGGTGGATACCCCTCCATTCATCTCGACGGGCTCCCCATCTTTCGCTGTGCCCTTGCAAGTGGCGATGAATGCCCAAAACGAGTGTCCTTCCACTACCCTTCAGGTTGGTGTGTATACCTATGAGAACGCTTCCCATCCCTCGCCATCGGACGAGTCTCGAAAGAGGATCGTGTCATACTCGGAGGAACCTAGGTCAGCCAAGAGGACGACGGGGCCGCCAATCCATGGCAAAGAGCAGCCGCCAGCCTACTCTTATTCGCCTTATTTGCAATCTTTGCCTGCGATGAATGGCTTCGTCGCTCCATATCACTCGACCTCATCACCCCGAGTTGCTCCAGCACATTACTCGACTGTAACGGCAACGTCACAGTCCAACATCCGAGCACCCTCGCCCCTCGCTCCTTCATGGAGTCCTTCATACGTGACTGTTCACGGAGATTCTAGAGCTCCTGGGTTCGCTTATGCCCACGGCCTCCGCCACCAAAAGCCAACTTCCCCCGCGCGGATCACTAACCCAACGCTTATTCGCACCTCCACACTGCAACAGTCAAGCAGCCTTAGTCATCACACTCAGTCGTTCAACCCCTATGCCATGTATCCCTCGAAGGCTGTCTTGAAGCTGAATGGCAGCTTGGACTCGATGACAGAAAGCTGGACTAAAGAGGAGCGCGAGTCCAAGCGGCGCTTGGTTCAATTCACTCGTATGCAAAGTGGGAGCACCATCCATGCGGACTTTAACCCAGTTACTCCTGAAGATCGTGCTCCCAACAGTATCTGCATTAGTTGCATCTACTGGGATGGCAAAGATGAATGCTTCATCACGAGTGTCGATACCATCTACCTCCTTGAGTCCCTTGTTGGTGTGAGATTCACCGTGGAAGAGAAGAATCGTATCCGCAGGAACCTGGAAGCTTCAGGCCACTTACTGTTTCGAAATCAAAAGCCGATAGCGAGGACTTCTTCAAGGTGATCATGGGATTCCCTGCCCCGAAGCCGCGCAATATTGAGAAGGATGTCAAGGTATTCCCTTGGCGGATACTCGGCCATGCTCTAAAGAAGATCATTGGTAAATACGTAAGTGGTAGATTCTTTATGCTGCACATCGTTGAGGCAAACACTGACGTACATGGGTCACAGTCCGCAAGCTACTCCTCGACCGCTGGGGCCCTTCCCACACCCATGAGCTCAACTTATACTAGCAATGGAGCTGCATCGGACTCTGGCACCGAACCTCCGAACGCGGCATCTCCACAGTCTGTCTCTGACACTGGTCCATCAACTACCTATGGTGCCCATGTGGCAGCCGCAGCCTATTCCCCTCCAGCACATCACCCTGGGCATTCCATGGCTGGCACTCATGAGCTACGAGCTGTGTTACCTGCTGTTAGCCAACCCTATCATCCTATGCCTGCCCCATATTCTTATCCAGCGGTCTGCCAACAACAGAGTCAACTTGGTCTCACTGCACCTGTTAGCAGAACTTGGGAGATCAACCCTCTCATCAATGCTCCTGGTACAAATGGAGGCCCCACCTACAACTACTTGACCCCAATGTCATACTCCGTTCAAGACCCGTCTCATTAAGCTGGGACCTTTATAATACGTCATCCCTTTTTCAATCGCATTGCACGGCGTTTTCGGTTTTTGTGTGTTCGAACTTATCCTTCCTGATATCCATTATCGTCACTCCTTTTTTTAAGCCACGGCGCTGGGTCAATAATCATATCTTACGAGTTGGCTTCAGCGTTTTCTATGATGATCACTCGGATGATCGACGTCTCTCCTTTCATACTTCATGTCTTAATGCCCCATTCTTTTCGTCATTTAAAGCCTGTTGACATGACGCATTTTAGACGATCTGTTGTCCGTTCCCTCCAGCATTTGCATTATATAGGGGCATTGGGATTTCACTCCTTTCCGGAATTTGTACAATTATTTTTTGGCATAGCATGGCGCTGCTGTCGTTCCTTTTGGTTTCGCAGGTCTGGGTATTTGGAATTTGTGGGTGGGATGGCGAAGGAAAAGTGTGTGCAATGGGTCTTGTTTGTTTTTCTGATGCGCTGTGGTTCACTTGTGCCTTGAGCACCGTGAGACTCCAGGCAGACTTTGTGTTCTTTTACTTATTTGGATCGATCTCGATTGGGTGAGATTCCACTATATATGCATAGCTTTGGCGCCTGTGAATACCGCTATATTTTGATTTTTGATTTTTTGATCTTGTTGCTTGATCGATTCCATTCAACCCCCATCTGTGTTATTGATTGACTTGAGAATGGTTTTATAGTATAGTACCCAGATTCCGCCCATTAATAATAGCTGATTGTTTCTTTCATGCACTTGGTGATAACTCGAGCCCTAATCACGGACCCTATCCCGTAATTCCGATGGTACCGTACAATCGATACATACGGTACGGGAAGAGAATTCCTGACCGAGCTTATCTTATCGCCACATAAATCACCTGACTCGGCGGGACATGGGCGATGGCAATTTGAATACAGAGGCAAGATGATCCATGACTCAAAACGCAGTGTGACTTTGACCGGGACTACATTTCCTCCTTCTCCATTTACCCCCCTCATATTCCACTCATTAACTGACCTAACTGACACCCCGGGGATCCACTTCACCCTTTATCTTCCTGCCCTTTCGGAAAGTCAACTGTCCCTGGACCGTTGCCCTCACCACCGACACCATGGAAGGCATCAAACAGACCTTTGCCAAGGCTAAGCAGGAGAAGCGCGCCGCCTTGGTCGCGTATATCACTGCCGGATATCCCACCGTTGAGGAGACTGTGGATATCCTCCTTGGCTTGGAAAATGGAGGCGCCGGTACGTGAAGGCTCCCCCATACCCCGCCACCTATCAGCCCCATTTTGGAATGCAGTTCACTGACGCAATGGGGCGATGTATACAGACATTATCGAAATGGGAGTCCCCTTCACGGACCCTATCGCCGACGGACCGACAATTCAGAAGGCTAACACCAAAGCATTGGAGAACGGCGTCACAGTCACGATTGTCCTTGAGAAGGTTAGGGAAGCCCGCCGCAGAGGTCTCAAAGTGCCGATCCTTTTGATGGGCTACTACAACCCTATGATGCGTTATGGGGAGGAGCGTATGCTCAAGGACTGCAAGGAGGCTGGTGTCAATGGCTTCATTATGGTCGATTTGCCCCCCGAGGAAGCTGTGCGTTTCAGAGAGCACTGCACCAGCAATGGGTAAGTGAACGTCTTCGCATGATATCCCCTGTTTGCTTGTTCAAATGGCAATGTGTTGACATGTTGCACAGCCTTTCTTTCGTCCCCCTCATTGCCCCTGCGACGTCAGAGTCCCGCATGAAGCTCCTGTGCAAGATCGCCGATTCTTTCATCTACGTCGTTTCGAGAATGGGCGTCACCGGTGCCACCGGAAAGCTCAGCGCAAACCTTCCCGAGCTCTTGTCTCGTGTTCACAACTGGTCTGGCAATGTGCCTGCTGCACTGGGATTCGGTGTCAGTACTCGCGAGCACTTCCTGACTGTGCAGGATCTGGCTGAGGGATGTGTTATTGGCAGCCAGATTATCACTGTCTTGGGTCAAGCCCCTGCTGGTCAGGCGGCTAAGCATGCCGAGGAATATCTCTCCAGTGTTACCGGTCGCAAACTCGAGAGGGATGCGCAGGGCACAATTGTACGCCAGGTCAATGTGATCGACTTCGTGGAGAAGAAGGAGCAGCCGGCCATCTCCCAGCCCACGGCCGTTGTCACTGATGTTGATGCTCCTTCGGGCCCGGGATTGGCCGACCAGCTTGAAGCTCTCAATGGCGGAAACCCCTCTGCGCAACCGCAGCGTTTCGGTGAGTTCGGTGGACAGTATGTTCCCGAATCCCTCATGGACTGTCTGGCCGAGTTGGAGCGGGGATTCGCAGAGGCTTTGAACGACCCCAAGTTCTGGGAGGAATACCGTTCTTACTACCCATACATGGGCAGACCTAGCAGCCTTCACCTTGCCAACCGTCTTACAGAGCATGTTGGAGGCGCAAACATCTGGCTGAAGCGTGAGGATCTCAACCACACTGGAAGTCACAAGATCAACAACGCACTCGGCCAGATCCTCCTTGCCCGGAGGCTGGGTAAGACGAGAATCATTGCTGAAACAGGTGCTGGCCAGCACGGTGTTGCTACTGCGACTGTCTGCGCTAAGTTCGGCATGGAGTGTGTTGTCTACATGGGTGCAGAAGACGTTCGCCGTCAAGCCCTGAACGTGTTCCGTATGAAGCTTCTGGGTGCCTCCGTGGTGGCTGTTGATGCTGGAAGCCGTACCCTGCGTGATGCCGTCAATGAGGCCCTCCGTGCCTGGGTTGTTGATCTGGACACCACCCACTACATCATTGGCTCTGCAATTGGACCTCACCCCTACCCCACCATTGTGCGTACCTTCCAGTCCGTCATTGGTGACGAGACTAAGCAGCAAATGATGGAGCAAATCGGCAAGCTGCCCGACGCAGTCGTCGCCTGTGTCGGTGGTGGCAGCAACGCCGTCGGCATGTTCTACCCCTTCTCCAAGGACACCAGCGTCAAGCTCCTGGGCGTCGAAGCTGGAGGTGACGGCGTTGACACTGACAGACACTCCGCCACCCTCTCCGGCGGTAGCAAGGGCGTGTTGCACGGTGTCCGCACCTACGTTTTGCAGGACGAGCACGGCCAAATCTCCGAGACCCACTCTATCTCCGCCGGTCTCGACTACCCTGGTGTCGGCCCGGAACTGAGCAACTGGAAGGACAGCGACCGCGCCCAGTTCGTCGCCGCCACCGACGCCCAAGCCCTCGCCGGCTTCCGCGCCCTCGCCCAATGCGAGGGTATCATCCCTGCCCTGGAATCCTCTCACGCCATCCACGGCGCCATGGAACTCGCCAAGACCATGAAGAAGGGCGAGAACATCGTCCTCAACCTCAGCGGCAGAGGTGACAAGGATGTCCAGAGCGTTGCCGATGAACTTCCCCGCCTGGGTCCTCAGATCGGCTGGGATCTGCGTTTTTAAAAAAGCTTGCGTGCTAAACGCGGGACTGAAAACACCTATTGGTCTGATCTATTTTAGATATCCGAGCTTCGTATCGTCCGACGGTCGATTGGTTCGATAGACGCTCGCTGATGAGCAATGATAAAATAAAGAGAAAAGTTTTCCTTACATAGCGCGTTTATTATGACGTCTTTCGGGGTTCATTGTATTTAAGATCTGTTTTGGATATCCAGCATGCAGCCGAGGTGTTGTCTAGATTCATTATCCTTTTCGTTTTTCCTTTTTTCCATTCCTTATCACTTCATTCTTTTATCCCACCGGTACCAGTAGATTATTCCCTACATACGCATCCAGCGTCATCGAGAGGATGAACCAGGAAATGACCAAATATGAGCTATATGATATACAACTACGACGAAGAGTATATGCAAAGTTCGTAGTGGACAAAGACAGACGAATAGCTTAACATGCAATGATAAAGCAAACACGAATAGATATCTCGGGATAAAAAGAAAACCGCCCGCCGCCGTCATCCTTCTTCTCATCTTCGGTAATTCAGTTCATTTATAAGATGAAATCGAATCTAGGTCTCAATGAGATCACCAGTCGACGACTGAGTTTGTTCAGGAGCGCTGTTGTCCCTTGTGTCCTTGTTGGCGATCTTACGGGAGGAGCGAGCGTAGAATTCGTCCAGGACGCGCTTAGGGATACGGTTAAGGAGGTCCTTAGGGTAGATGCGGAGCAGGTTCCAAGCAATGTCTAGGGAGTCGTAGATACTGCGCGATTCGTAGGGGGACTGGCTGATGAAGGTTTTCTCGAACTTCTCCAAGAATTCGAGGGACAACTTGTCTTCGGAGGACAAGGCTTCCTCACCGACGACTGCCTTCATGGCGGCTGTTGCGATAATTTTCATCAGTACTGTATGGCTCGTTGGGACTCATTCTGGGGGTAACTAACCGGCATCTCGTCCAATAGCGTACTTGGCGTACAGCTGGTTGGACACATCAGAGTGGTCCTTACGGGTACGACCCTCACCAATGGCAGACTTCATCAGACGTGACAGAGATGGAAGGACGTTAATTGGGGGGTAGACACCCTTGTTGTACAGCTGACGATCAATGAAGATCTGGCCCTCAGTAATGTAGCCTGTCAAGTCGGGAATAGGGTGGGTGATATCTGATACAAGGTCAACAGACTGTTTCTGTGATTGAAGGAGGGAAACAAACCATCGTTAGGCATAGTCAGAATAGGAATCTGAGTGATAGATCCGTTACGACCCTCTACACGTCCAGCACGCTCGTAGATAGTGGACAAATCAGTGTACATGTAACCGGGGTAACCACGACGACCGGGCACTTCTTCTCTGGCAGCGGAGACTTCACGAAGAGCATCACAATAGGCCGAAAGATCAGTCATGATAACCAGGACGTGCTTCTCCAATTGATAAGCGTAGTATTCGGCAGTTGTCAAGGCAAGACGAGGGGTAATGATACGCTCAATGCTGAAGCAAATAGTCAGTATCGCATGTATAATAAACGTAGAAGGACCCCGAGTATTTGATGGTGAACGTACGTAGGGTCATTGGCCAAGTTCAGGAACAGCGTGACACGCTCCATACTGCCGTTCTCCTCGAAATCACGGGTGAAGAAACGGCTAGTTCCATGTTAACACCCATAGCTGCGAAGACAATCGAGAAGTTCTCTTCGTGTCCATCGTGGACGTCCTTAGTTGGCTTGCCAACCAAGCCAGCCTGGCGACAAATCTGGGCAGCAATTTCGTTGTGCGGAAGACCAGAAGCGGAGAAAATAGGAATCTTCTGACCACGAGCAATGGAGTTCATAGTGTCGATGGCAGAGATACCGGTGGAGATCATTTCTTCGGGGTACACCTTTACACCATCCCGTTAGCGATCTATAGCTTCGTCATCGAATCCACCGGGGTATAGCGTGCGCGTACTCTCGAGTAAGGGTTAATAGGTTGGCCGTTGATATCCAAATAATCCTCCGCCAGCACCTTAGGGCCCTTATCAATGGCGCGACCCGAGCCATCGAATACACGGCCCAGCATGTCCTCCGACACACCCAGCTTCAAGCTGTGGCCGCTGAACTCGACCTTGGTCTAGGACAAAGTCAGCATGACGATCCAGCCAGGTGTGCAACCACCCCAAGATTGCAATATACCCTTTTGACATCAATACCCGGAGTACCTTCGAACACCTAACCGGAAAGCCACGTTAATGCTCCGCCCGAAAGCAACTGTTATCAAAAGACTTAGGCTCTAGAGTATTTCGCACCTGAACGACAGCTCTGTTTCCTATTCACCGAATATCCGAGTTAGCTTCTCTGGTCGATCCGGCATGGACCTCTTCTAGATAAGCTCAACATACCTCTAGCCTCAAGGACCTGACCAGACCGTTCGGTACCATCAGGAAGAGTCAGGGATACAATCTCGTTGTATCGGGGAAATTTAACCTAAGCCGACACCATTGTGAGCATAACTACTTGACATGCAAGCTTCTTCAGCTTGCCATCTAAGAAACCGTGGAGGGGCATACATTATCCAGGATGACCAGCGGTCCGTTAATACCTGAGATCGTATTGTAGCGAATACGAGGCTTGACTGAAGTCATTCTGGGGTCAACGAATTCGGACGCCATGGCTGCAGAGTTCCTGACCAGCTGCCGAGAATGGATACAGGAGGGGGCCGCGAAGGAGAGGGTGGGGAGTGAAGGAAGAGGAGCTCCTGACGTCGGGGCCAAGTGAGATCGTACGTAGTCCGATATGATGGCTGGTCTCCGCAGTCGTTGGGCGGTGACCCATGCACGTGATACCAGCTTGAGCTATGACATCGTCTACAAACATACTGCGCAGTACACATAGTTACATAACATATGAAACACAATTTTAGCGGCCTAGGGGACTCGTCCCAACTTATTATGTTTTATTCTGATATTCAAGTGTCATGAGGATATCCTTGTGCTGATCGTTGTCATATCAAACTGATCCCTAAACCACATGGAACTATGCGTGTAGGGACGTCACTCAAAAAAGAAAAGAAAAAGAAAAGAAAAAGAAAAGAAAAAGAAAAGAAAAGAAAAGAAAAGAAAAGAAAAGAAAAGAAAAGAGAAAAGCAACCTTCGTGAGTTGATAAGAGAAATAGAAAGAAAGATAGGCAAAACGGGCACCTTCGTCCATCATGGCAACAATAATTCATAATCATACAGGTTGAGAATTGAAGGTAAATGATCGAGAAACTGTAGCGAAAAAAAGACATGCGCCGTGTGGCTAGAAACCGTCCAGCTATCCGAAATGCAAACGCGAGAGGTGTGCTGTCTGTCAATCTAATCTATCTTTGCCATTGCTAGTTTCTTGGGTGTTGACAGATTATTTGAGAGACGAATGTTTGTCTTCTTGGTCTTGGATTGCTTCTTCAGCTTCTTCCGCGCGACCATGACCGGAACCGAAGAATGCATGACCAAGTAATTGGAAAATGACCCGAGAAGTACACTGCAAGTCATTAGCTTTTGTAGATACTTTCGAGTAGGATGATTAATAATTACCCTTTCAAAGCGCTCCGGCCCCTGGCACCGACAATGACAAGAGTTGGCTCAAGGCCGTCGATCTAGAAAACAAAAAACATGTCAGTCGCTTCGAGTAGAGAGTGATGGGAAAAGGTCCATAGTTGCACCACGTACAGCTTCGGTAATCATATGTTTAGGGCTCTTGCAATGGATCACCTCAACGGCAACCCGTACCTGTAACACTGTCTTTCTGAGGAGTCGGACACACGTTTGTGAGATAACTTCAACCGCATGAACGCGTTCGGACTCCGCTTTGGACATCCCCCGAGAATCTACAGAGCTGGGTTTGCTGTCTGTTCCCGAGCCCAGTCGGCTCAAGAGCGCACGAGATAAATTGGTGGACGAGTCGTTCTGCGATTGCTGCACCGTCTCTTCGGTCTGCGACCCCACAACGGCCGCAGCATCCTGCATAGCTTTGGCGCCCTCCCCAATTTGAACGGAGGTTGGCGCACCGGTCTCTTCATGAATAGCACAAACAGCAAACATCGTGTCACCATCTCGAAGGATCGTGCCGATCGTCCATTCCAGGGCATAAACGGATTCTTCACTGAGGTCTGTAGTTACCAGATACTTGCGCTGGCGGCGACGACCACTTTCCGTTTGTTCTGATAGGCCGGTATAGTCGCCGCGGATGATAGTCCGGATAGACCTATTGTGCACGGAACTGTCAATGGCGGACATTTGGATTCCGAGTTTCTGCGCCCGTTTGATGTCAGACAACTCCGCCTCATCTTCCGATCCAAAGGGGGTATTGGCCGCCGAAGCAGTGTCGAAGCTTGTCCGAGGATGAACCTCAGGCTTCTTCGGGATTGGGCCCTGTTTCGCCGAATGAGTATACTCCGATTTCTCAGATTTGTCGTCGGGGCTATCCGCCGACGCTTCTATTGCTATGTTAGTGATTATAAGAGATAAAAGCGAGCAGAGGGACACATACGCTCTTTCGAATCAGGCGTTGAGAGGCTCGTTTCATTGTCCCCGATAGGAGGAGCACGGTCAGAGGTTTTCTTTCGTCCACGCTCGGAACTAGCCTCATCATCGCTCGAGGTAGAATCATCAATTTCCTCTTCACTGGTTTCAATTAGGTTGTTTTCGCTGTCGTACATGTCTTTCTCCAAGCGTTCATCTCCAAGCGTTGGCGAACGGACATCGTCGTCGGATGATTGACGGCGAGCTGCCGGTCTAGCAGGTTGCTGTTTACCAGTACTCTCCATCTCTGTCGGCTTCGGCTTTTCTACTGTCGGTTTGGTCGACTGGGATGCCGGGCTCCGAGAACTCGGGCTGAGCCAGCGATTCTTTGGGGGCATGCGCGAGTCCAACGAAGTCCCACGCGCTGAGTTGTTCCGTGATGAGCTTCTCCCTCTGGTAAAACTCGGCAACCCGACCCGTATATCCAGACCCGACATCACCGCTGCCATGGCGTTCCTGCCCTGCAGAGCCTTGGTGGGCGGCTTTTCCTGTGCCTGGCTCGCACGCCGTTGAGAGAGGACGCTAGGCGGCATTGTGACCGAATCGTCCCAGCGAATACTCGGCCGGGGTCTGATATTATCGGTTTTGTTATCCTTGGTGACCGAAAGCGGGTCGCTGGATCTGCGGGGAGCGTCCTCGGAATCAGCGGAAGATTTCTTTTGCGGGATTGGCGGGGGAGCAACGGCCGATGTGGTGCGTCGTGGGGTGGAAGTTTTTTGGCAGGAGGAGGTGCAGTGCTAGATGTCGTTGTAACTAGAGGTTCATGCCAGCTGCGTCGCGCGGAAGGGGGAGTCACGCCGACGCCAATGCCGGCGATGGACCCATGCCGTGGAGGCAGGGCCCCAGGCGATGGAGCAATATCCAGCAGGCTCCGCGCCGGGGCCGTCGGGGTTGTTCTGTGGTTCCGCCGCGAGCCTGCACCGTTGCGACCTTCATATTCATGAACAAGCTCACGGCGCTCTTCTTCCAGAGCGGTTTCCAGCGACATTGCGGCGGGTTTCCTACTGTAGTAGTGCTGCATCGTGTGTGGCGCCGCCTGCGGCGGTTGATAAGCTGTGGAGAACCGAGTCGTACCAGAATCAAGAGGCTGGCCAAACAGCTGTGGAATGTGGAGATCGACCGCCTAATGACGGCTTTAGCTCGGGTCTGGACGGGGGCGTCCGCACTTGTGCATTCGGCGGCGGCCGCTGTTTGGTCGTTCTAGTATAAACCGTATCGTGTGCAAATGGGGGGCTGAAGAAGATCAACAAAACCACACTGTGGGCTGCTTGAAGAAGAAGAAAATGTCAAGTCGATCCAAATCTCACCACCGTCTTTAGTCGGTAGTTTTAAGAACTTAACAACTCCTCTTCCACGTGTAGGCAGCCGTGTGTATCACGGGCGATCTTCCACTAGTTTCTCTCCGGTCGCTGCCAAGAAGAGGAGACTTGTTTTGGCTTGAATCACAATGGTCCTTGGGAGGCTTGTTTTGGGGGAGGGACGTCGCCACTGCGGTGGTGGTGATTCGAAGCGACGGACGATTGGTGTCCAGTCCAGGGAGGAAGAGGGGTTATAATCAATATAATCAATTATTATTGGGCGTTGTTAAGCTCGCAAGTTGGTCTGCAAGGGACCCTTTTTTCAGTTGGCACCCACGGCCGGAGCTCTCCAGAGTCCAGAGGGTCTTGTTCTGCTTCTTTGTCCCCGAGGAATCCACTTTTCACGACCGTCGGGCCACGGAATGAATCAAAGAAACTTCGTAGTGATCAGCAACCAGAGTCGATGCCGCAAAGGATATCTGACAGAAGGTTTCGCTACAAAAAAGGGGATCAGCACAAAAAGCAAAGAAAAAGAAAAAGTAAGAAAAAAAAGGATCCCACAAAACTCAAGAGGCACTCACCAAGAGCTCGGGCATTTATGGCGGGGCAACAGAGAGAGAGAGGGATTTGATCTGAGCTTCTGAGAGGAGAACAGAAGGAGGGGGAAGGAATCAAACATAATTTAGAGGAAAAATAAGGAAAAAGAAACGAAGATCCAATGTCAAAAGGGCTGAACTCTATGCCGGCGATGTCATTAGTATCACTCCCCCATTTGGTGTCACTGTCAATCCCTTGCGTCTATCACAAGGTGCTTGAAGACGAGACGGTGGCTTAACCCCAGTGAATTTACTCGGATTTTAATGGGTACCAACGCCGTTACACGAGAATCAATTGTAGCCTAATGGTTCATTCACGCCATTGCCAATCATCGCCTCTCCATGCAGGATTTAGATACTAATAATTGACCAGGGATGGTACTGCTGACTCGTATTACCTACAACTGTCGGGACTCTATGTACATGTAGAACAATGGATTCACGGTGCGCTAATCATAATGTTAAGATGCCCTTCAATAGAATTACCACACAAAAAAAAGGAGTCATTAGTTTCGTCTTTATGACATATGTCTTGTAACATGAAAAGTCCAGGTCGTTCGAATCTCACTGTATGACGATGTGGTTCCCTAAAATCAAAACAAGCAGTAGGACCAAGAAATATCCATAGGGGTCTCCCAGAACTCCTGCACCAGAAAAACAATAGCTAGTATCAACAAACAAAAAGAAGCAAGAGGAAGTGCAAAATCAGCCAATGGAGTTCGGTCCACGCGCGTCACTTATGTAGCCCTCTTCTTTTTCGAGCTGCGCCGAGCTGCAGTGGCTTCAAAAGCTTCTTCGGGAGGCTCCTCAAACTTCGCCCCTCGTTTCTTGCCAGGGGCATATTTCGCCTCAAGTTGATCAAAGAACGACTCGGCACGGGAAGCCTGTCGCTGCTGAATCAGAGCCACTAGATCGTTGTCATCCATAGCAGAGGTCTTCTTTTTCTTTCCCTTCTTCGCCTTAGTAGTTCCCTTGACTTCGTCCTTCTCCTCCAGTTCTTTAGCAGCCTCCTCGGCTTCTTTGGCTTCCTTCTGCGCACGTTTGAGTCTCTGCTGTCGCTTCTTTTCCGGCTCTTCGGAGTACTTCTTGTACTTCTCCACCTTGCCATCGGCAATCGCCTTGTCAATGAGGGCGCGGAAGCGTTCATCGTCATCAAGCACGTTACACAACATGACCGACTCATAGATCTTGTCCATATCGCCTCGGTATTTCTCAAACGCCGCGAGCAGGTCGCTCTCTTCCTCTTCCGAGCCCTGGTACTCCTGCTTGAATTTGTCGAGCGCCTTTACATCGATTGCACTTGAAAATTGTTCACGATAGAAGTCTGTCCAGTTGAAGTCGTCATCCTCGTCCACTGCCTCGGCGGTGCTCCCTGTCAGGTCGAATCGGCGGCGGCGGCGCTCGTCGGACAGAATCGCATAGGCGAAGGCGATCTGCTGGAACTTCTTGTTTGCTTCTTCTTTTTGATCCTCCGGCGCCTTGTCTGTTGTGTTGTTAGAATCGGGTCAATTGTTCACAGCTTTCTTATTCTGAAGCATCAAGTATATAGTACACTTAGCCACGCGTATGTAAATGGACATTACTCACCGGGATGATGCTTCAACGCCAACTTCCTGTACGCGGATTTGATCTGATCTGCTGTCGCATCCCCTTGAACCCCTAAGGTCTCATAGAGGTCGGTCTCAAGGGGAGCCTCTTCAGGGATATCGGGGACGTCATCTTCGTGTGGCATAATGAAACGTAGAAAGAAGTGTGAAAAAGAAAATCAGATAATAGAGAATGATCACAGCTCACCGCCTTCCAAAGATCCAGTAAGACAGAAAGCGCAGAGAAAGAATAGGAGCAAAGGGCTAGAAAACACTAACAGAAAAGTTGAAGTGAATTGATTCACAGCAACAGACGCGTTGAGACGCGCCCATTGGGAAAACCATTTTGCTTACCCAAGAGGGTTAGACCGGCCAATGGAGCTCTCCCCGCCTTCGATGTCATTGATCTTTAATCTATTTCCGTTTAGTCTTTCGCACTTAAATTGATTTAACTTCGGTTCTCTGATGTATATACCAGCTTGATACCTTAAATCTTTGTTTTCTCATTGAAACATTGCTATATTTTTCTATATACTACCATCATGCAATCTCCACACATCAAATATCTTCGAGAATGCCTCTCTCTGGCCGAAAAATCCCCACCCCGCCCGACCAACTTTCGCGTCGGCGCCATTCTCGTCTCCCGCAAAGAAGGCGATTACAAGACTGAAGACGACCGGATCGTCTCGACTGGCTACACAATGGAACTCGCGGGTAATACGCACGCCGAACAGTGTTGTCTGTCTAACTACGCCGCCGTGCATTCCGTGCCAGAAGACCGCGTGTGGGAGGTATTGCCATCTGAAACAGATCGAAAGCTAGTCATGTACGTCACAATGGAGCCATGCGGGAAGCGACTGTCGGGCAATCTACCATGTGTACAGAGGATTATCCGGACTCGTCAAGGGGATCGCAAGGGTATCCAGAAGGTATATTTTGGGGTCAAGGAGCCGGGGACATTTGTCGGTGGCTCAGAGGGGTGTAAGATGTTGACAGCTGCCGGGATTGATTGGCAGGTGGTCAATGGGCTGGAGAGGGATATCCTGGAGGTGGCGGTGGCTGGGCATGATAATCGCGAAGAGGAGGTCAAGGCCGCTTTGGACACAGTTGAGACCAACCTAGATGACATCAGTGACGACGAGCGGCGCAGACAGCAGGAAGCGCAAAGGAATCCCAAGAAAAGAATGGTGGAAGCCAACTTGCTCGGCTGATCCAGCTGTCCTAGCACGAGATACATGCAATATGACGGATCATGAATGCTAGAGATAACGTATTATACATCCATGCCTGCCTGACACTGCAGCTATGGTGGCCCCTCACATGAAACACAGTCACATGCCTCAACAATCAACTTTTCCTCCAAGCTCCAGAGTCTGCAGTTATCCCTGCGCCGAGAAGGATTTTAGTTATCTGCAGCTTTCTCTTGGCATGGATGGCATAGATTGTGGTTGAGCTGCAGTCGCCATTATCTTATCTTACCCCACATCTTTTCCGCCGGAAAGAGGCGTCTCCGAGGATTTCCGCTGGATACGACCGAGATATTGTCCCCAATGTCGCGTATACTTTCAGACAGGTTCAGTGGATGGAAATCAGAGATAAATTACAGTCATAGCGGCCTACATCATGCAAAAACAACAACGACCATACCGCTCCCACAAATTCCCCGCGTGTGAACGCTGTCGCCGATTTAAGCGTCGATGTACCGGTGGAACTCCAGACCAACCCTGTGTGCTCTGCAACCTACAGGAAGTTCCTTGTATAATATCTAGTAGCCCTAAATCGTCCTCTAGGTCCCGCCGTGGAGTGAAGCATGACCAGCGACGTCCCCAAACATCACGAATTGCGCCCTCCGCTCCCATTGATAAAGTACCTTCACCGGCTCCGGCCGATGGAGAAGTTGGCCAAGAACATATCGGGCGTGACTATCATGGCTCTCCAGGCCAAGATCATTCTAAGGTCGAACTATCCATGTTTGCCAGTCCTGTCCTCTCCGAAGACATAAAAATCTTGGAGCGATACATGTCTTCTAAAACCAGTTCGCTTTCTACTGGAGAAAGAAGTGGGTCCTCGGATACTCCGATGGTGTACCTTAAAGCTCCCCGGCGGAGAGAAGGCCTGTCGATGGCAGCGAATCCGGGGAAGCGACAGAAAGAGATAGTGATGCAAGTCATTCAACCGTATACCGATGAGCTGGTCCGATTGTAAGCCAACTACCCCTTTGAATCTATTGCACCACTCACATTGACAAGGTATTTCGAGGAGATCCACCCGGCGTTCCCTCTCCTTGATGAGCAACTATTCATGGAGCTGTATAAAGCCGGCGACAAGCTGTCACCAGTCCTAGTCTGCTATTTCTTTTCCGTGTCCTTAGTTCTTTGGCATCATTCGCCTATGCTCAGGCAATTTCCGAAGCCGGACGTGTATTTTATATGGAACCTGGCTGTAGAGGCTTTGCAACAGGACTTTCTAGCGCCTGCGTTGTCAACCATGTACTCGGTTTTATTGGACATGGGTGGGCGACCTATCTATTCCATGCTTGTGAACACCATCAACAACGGCCGGGCAGTTACCCTAGCTCAGACTCTAGGGCTAAATCGTGACCCGACCAATTGGAGACGGCCCAAAAGCGAAAAGTCGTTGCGCATTCGTCTCTGGTGGGCAGTCGTCATCCACGACCGCTGGTTAGTGAGCTTCTATCTCCTTTGGTGATAACTCCCACTAACCGAACTCGCAGGTCAAGTTTTGCCCATGGCATCAGTCCCACCATAACCAAATCTAGATACGACGTGCCCATCCCTATGCTGGAGGACATAATCACAGATTCAAACCAATCAGACACGCGCATCAAAGCTGCAAACTCATTCATCCACCTTTGCACCCTCACTGAAATCCTGGGAGAAGTCCTACCACTAGTCTATGACTTAAATCCCAACCCAAAAGAGACCTGGAAGCAGATCCGCCGTCTCGAAACAGACCTAGACGAATGGGAGGATCGTCTACCGAACTACCTCCACCGAAACAATAACGAGAACACCAGAGTATCTGGATCGAGCAGTCTACAACTAAGCTACCTTGCCGTCCGATTACTGCTGAACCGAATTTCTCTACATGTTAGTAACCCCCTTCATGCTCAACACAGCCTCCATGGAAAAGAAAGCTAAAAGTGGACAAAATTAAGGCAGCAGCCCTATCAACAGACAGCGACCGTCTCCAAACAACACGCTACCACCTCTCCCAACTCCGCAAATCCGCCCAAGAAATCGTAAACTACGTC